TCAATCATTTTTCTCGAACGGCTATTCTGTTCAATAGCAAACTTCCATAGCCACTTAGCAAGAAGAGCAGAACTGAAAGAGTCTAAGTTGCAAATAGCCAGCCCCCATTTGATTTGGAAGCTTTATATGTGTTCCAACTCACAGAAGGCGATTTCTATTTATTACCCACTCCAATCCAGATGAAGTTCCTCTGGATTCTCTCTAAATCATTAATAACCTTCTCATGAGCTTTGAAAAGAGAGAAGGAATACACAAAGAGGCTAGTAAGGACAACTCTATTAAGAGTGAGTCTATCTCCAATCAATAGATAGTTATGTTTCCATCCATCAAGTCTTTTATGATAATTCACCACAATCGAATCCCAAAGAGAGGAGGCATTAGGTTTGGCGCCGAGAGGATAACCAAGATATTTAGGCAGGTTTCTACTCCACTTACAACCAAAAATGGCAAAATAGAAGTTAGGTTCAGGAACATCGCCAATGGTGTACATAACAGATTTTTCAAGATTGATTTTCAAGCCAGTGACTGCTTGGAAGCAGACGAGAGTAGATAGAACACTAATCACCTGTTCATGGGAAGCATCGCAAAAAATAAGTGTATCATCATCAAATAAGAGATGAGTTACCTACCCAAGTTGGTGAGTTTCGTCCATAAAGAAACCACTGATCAGTCCTGCTGACTTGAGTTTAGAGAGCATGAAGGATAAGATGTCCATGAGAAGAATAAAGAGAGCCGAGGAAATTGGATCCCCTTGACGAAGCCCTTTTGAAGCTGGGAAAAAACCATGAGCTTCACCATTGATCAAGACGGAAATGAGAGGAGAACAAACAGTCCCATGAATCCATTTAATCCACGCTTCAGGGAAACCCAGCTTCGTGAGAATTTTGAATAAGCACCCCCAGTTCACGTTTTCGATAGCTTTTTCGATATCAAGTTTAAACCTAAGCCCGAGCCTTATGCTTTTCCTCCTACCGTCAACATGTTCGTTGGCAATGAGACCGGCTTCCGAGATTTGCCTTCCTTGAATAGCCGCCAGCTGAGAAGAAGACACCAGCTTAGGAAGAACTTCACTGAAACATAGAGGAAGAATGAAATGAATGTCTTATCGAGGCAATCGTATTTGTTTCGGTAGATATGCTCTCCAAGCACTTGAACCCACTTGGATTACATCTAGACAAATAGAAGCAGGCCGACGTGCAATGATAAGAAACGCACGGCGCAGTGGAAAAATATGGGTGCGTATATTTCCCGACAAACCCGTTACCCTAAGACCTACAGAAACACGTATAGGTTCAGGGAAGGGATCTCCCGAATATTGGGTAGTTGTCGTTAAACCGGGCAGAATACTTTATGAAATGGGCGGAGTAAGAGAAAATATAGCCCGAGTCTCCTAGAGAGAACCTGGTTGATAAGTTTATTTAAACTACCCAAGAGACCTAAAGGTCTTAGATCCTTGACGTCTTCAATAGCATCCTTCTTGGGCACAAGACAAGTAAAGGAGTGGGAAGCATATTTAGAAAGACGCCCAGCTGTGTGGAACTCCAAGAACACGTTAATAATGTCCTTCTTAATCTGTGTCTAGCATTTCTTGTGAAATTCAAAGGTAAAACCATCGGGACCAGGGGGCCTTGGTGCCATCACAATCATTCAAGGCTTTCCAGATTTCAGTTTCAGTGAAGGGACGACATAGAAACCTTCCTTCGGAATCCTGGATTCTCCAATCAAAATACTGCCTGAAAAAGGGGTGGATAGGGATATGTTCATAGAATAACTCATTATAGAAACCTAGAATACCTTCAGCGACCTCCTGGAAACCTTACAATAAAAGGCCACAAACCTTGATGCAGTTCAAAGTGTTGATCTTCCTCCTAAATAGCAATTCGATGAAGATAACCTGTTTTGTTATCCCCTTTTTGTAACCAAGTTTCCTTAGATTTCTGTCTCGAACAAACTTCTTTTCAAGGATTCATCATCATCGAGAGGTCTAGCTTCTTCAATGTTCTCAAGCACATGAACTTTTGAAAGTAGATCATCAACCCTCTTATGAATGTTGCCAAAGATTTGTTTGTTCCAGACTTTGAGTCTTTTTTACCATAGCCTACCACAGGAGTAAGCATCCAGTCATTGAAGCTGTCGAAGAAACGCTTGTCTTCCAACCACATATTTTTCAATCTCCAAGGTCTCTTGATTCTTCTGTTATCACCTCAACTCAAAAGAAGGGGGTTGATATCAGATTCAATTCCCATCACAAGAAGATATCAGTTGCGAAAGCTGCTTGTCCCAATAAACCAGAATACCACCAGAACTGCCATTAGCATTTTTGGCTACCCAACCTAAATCTCTTCTTCCACTAATGCTAGCAACCAAGGAATCGTTACAATCAGTCCATTTGGTTTCAAGTAGAGTTACGATATGCGGTTTATGTCTAGCAATAAAACGCTTAATTCTCCTCCTTTTGTCTTGATCCCCAAGACCTCTAACGTTCCAGAAGTAGATCGACATATTCATTGAGACGAGGTTGAAAAAATACCACCTGCTTTCCTAGCACTCCTTCTCGGACATTTGGGAGGTGATTGTTGGGGACCAAGCCTATGGTGTTCCATTTCGAGTTTGGAACGAGGAGTTATTTTTATTTTGGTATGTATCTCCTGGGCGGTGTCCTTAATCGCCATATCCGCCTTGTGTGTGCCTTCAATATGATCAAGGGAGAAAGATGTCCCAAACCAATTCTTGATTTGACTAATGTCATCCGATCAAAAGGGTAAGCCTCGAGATTCCAATTGGTGTCTTCTTTTTCTTGTAAGCAGGATGGTGACGGAAGATCTTCAAGCACATTGCAAGGAGTTAAATGGTTTTGGGCGAGGTAGCAATTGGGAGTGAGTGGAACAAGCGAAGGGGTGATATTGGTAAGGCAAAGGTTAGGAGTGGGTGAAGGGGGTTCCGATTCAGGGCATTCAGAATCCAGCTGGGGGCAGGGGAGGAGAGGGAGTGGTTGTGGGTGATGGAAGGTGAGGGGGGGGGGAGATTGGGGAGGTGGTGATTGATGCATTGTGGGGGGTTTGAGGGATGATGAGTAGAATAACGTGACTAGGTTTCTGGTTGGAAATGGTAAAGACACTAGTACAGGGTTGGGGGGAAATGAACAAGGCTGGAGTTGAGAAGTATCTGTGGAGGAGGGAAGAAGACGTAAGAGCTTGGAGAAAGTGGGAAATGTTGGGTATTGGGTTTGGACGTGAGAGAGCAATTGTTGAGCCAAAAATGAAAAAGAGGGTGACAGGTCGATAGGTTGCAGAGATGGGCTGAGAGATGTCGTCGCTTTCGGCCCAATCCAAATGGGTCCTTCTTTGCGAACCCATACTTGTTTCAAAACCTTGCTAGACTGTTTAGGTCAACTGGAGTTTCTCGCGAAAATTTTAAGGGTTGCATCAGCCAATGGGGAAATGGGTTCGGCATGCGGGTACACGCCAGTCGAAAAATGAGAAGGCTCCTCCTTGCTTTGACGATCCGTATTCCAGGTCTTACGAATTTCCATGACGGACGATCCGGAATTACCTCTGCTCTCCGACGGCGACACAATATTTCAGTTTTGAATTAGTCTATTACATGTCTTTCCTATTTTATATGTATGAGCGGTTGTATAAAGTATAAATCGTTCACCAACAGTTTTATAATGGTTAACCACTGAATTATGAACAATTAGGTTTTCCGGTTCAACATCCAGCTGGTTATGAAAACAGAGCTCTAAACCCATTTAGGACCGCTAATTTAAGATTTAATAACTTGCATGCAAGTAGAAAGAAGCTTCATTTCTCACATGAAAAAACATTAAGAAAAAAACTCCAAGACTCGTGCCTCTTAATTAGGCTCTTAATGAATTACTTCTTGCTGTCTCTAGCCAATGGATTTCTTTTGATTTTGGTAGCTGCCTATGACGGCTGAAGCTGCTTGTACTCATGAAGCTGTTTAGTGATGGCTGTGGGTATATAGTGGAATGATGTGAAGAGATTGGAGATTTGGTAGCGATGTACTTCTACTTGACATACTTTTTTTTTACAGTTTTATGAATGAAAATTACTCTCGATCTCTCTTTGTTTTGTGGTTGATATGATGAATATTTTCTTTGATTATACATGGGCTAAACAATCCCAAGATAATGGAGCTGTTTAATTTTCACATAAAAGATGTGAATGTATGACTTGTTAGGTGAAAATGTATGTTTAATTTTCACATGAAGCTGCTTGTACTCATTGTTTATCATGACCCAACTCCCACTTGAGAATAATCACAAGTCTTATTTTTTTTCTTTCTTCTTCTTCTTTGGTAGAATCATTACAACTCACAAAGCTAGAATCCACGGCTTTGGTTTTATTTTATGGTGTCAGATCGGAACTATCCAATATTTGGATTCTTCGGGTTGTTGGATGTTAATTTTGATGTTTCCAACAAATTGTGGGAAGAAATGAAGAAGATTTGCCGGCGAATGTGGTGGTTGCATACACTAAATCTTCTTTCGAGCTAAACCAAATATACAAGAAAATATTATCAAGAGGTTGATGCTTAATCTCCAATTTTTTTACAGGAAATAATTTAAATAATTTTTTTTAGGAACAAGAGAAGAGAGAAATTTGTAGAAATAAATTTAATAATGCATTCTCTATACATCATGCATTCAGCGATTAAAACAAGTAAAATATATGTTATATTCTGCAGAATACATGTATACTATCAAAATACAACGTATAGAATCGGAGGTTCCAAACGAAGCCTTATTCGGATTATTGATTACAATTTTCACCTAACAAGTCATACATTCACATCTTTTATGTGAAAATTAAACAGCTCCATTATCTTGGGATTGTTTAGCCCATGTATAATCAAAGAATATTCATCATATCAACCACAAAACAAAGAGAGATCGAGAGTAATTTTCATTCATAAAACTGTAAAAAAAAGTATGTCAAGTAGAAGTACATCGCTACCAAATCTCCAATCTCTTCACATCATTCCACTATATACCCACAGCCACAATCACTTATACATACAAATTTGGTTCGTAAGATTAGAAAATTACACCCAAAAGGAAGAGACTGGAACCAGTCTTTGTCAAAACGGGCGTTGGGCGGAAGCATTGAGATCTGAACCGGAAGTGGCCGGCCGGTCCCCGACCCGCCACAGCTACTGCAACCCATCCGGCCGGAGCCGGCGCAGGTCCGGCAGCCCAGGTCGCCGTCGGACCATCGTTGGCAGAGGCAGGTGACCCGACCCGACCCGTTGCAAGACGGGCACCTGGTTTGTTGGAAGGGACCGGACATGGGCCTCTCGTCAAGCAAGGATTTCGCCATTACTGCTCCGGCCAGCACGCTGAGGCCCGTCGCCAGCTGCGGTCACAACCACGGGAAACATTTTTAGCGAGAAAGAGAGGAAGGAGGAGAATTGAGATAAGGAGGCTAAGGGAAGATTTTTGTGGGTTAAGGAGGTAAAATTGGTGGTGCTGATTTTGGTTGTGTGGGAAAGATGAAAGAAGGAAGAAAGTGGTTGTGGAATTGTACACGTAAAAGAAAAGAGAGAATAGAGATGGGTGTGTTTATTTGGTGGCTGAGGTCGCTTCGCTTGTTGTCGTGGATTTGGGGAATGAGGGTTTTGGAAGTTTGTGGGGCGCTCTTCTTTCTTTCTTTCAAGTGGAAACTAGTGAGGCGGTGCTGAACTGAATGGTAAGAGTTGAGAGAGAATGAAAATTTTGGTTTGCAACTTGCAGACTAGTGATACGCGTTGAGATTCGTGGACACCGGCGAAGTTGAAGGCCAAAATGAACATAGACGGTCTTGTCGGCAGGTTTGGACTGATGATTCACCGGAAATTGGATCCAGGCATGGGTGGTGGGAGTGGGAAGGGGGGTTTGGGTTCACATAACACAAGTACGTTTTGATTCAAAAAAATAATTCTCATATTATTTATGCAAGATATCAAACTCATAATCTTGAGTGGACATACAAGTATTTTGTTACTGCATTGAAACTCATTTCTTGTTGTTTGGTTATCACAAAATTGATTTATGGTACTAAAATTGAAATCTCCAATTGAAATAATTTATATTCTGAAGAAAAAACTCGCCAAATTTCAACTCCCGACTCCACCACTAGTTCCAAGTTACATAACGACGGTATTTATGGATATTTGCAAAAATGCTAGTCGATGGAATTCAGAAATCTTTGATGAGATGGTGTAAACTTGGACCCTTGAAGTCTATGTATGTATACATAATATATTACCATTTGATCAAAAAATATACAAATTATTAATTTATTCATAAAAAATTTAATGTGTTATTATATTATGAAATACGTAACATACATTAATCGTCTACACTATTAAATAAGTCTATTTCGTAATCTACACTCTTGAGAGGAAAAAAAACAAAATATACTTAAAAGCATAAGAAATGAGCTGCAATTATATGATGACTTGCTCTTGTCATAACTTAGAAGTGCTGAGTTTGATCTGTCATGTATGTGTTACCTATGAATTCATTATATTTTTACCAACCCTCTAATAATTGAGCCTTCACCTACACATATAAAGTCCTTTTATAGCAGCTCTGCCTGACACTGAAGAAAACCCCAATCCCTAAGTCGGTGAAAGCTCAGCTCCTTTGGAATTCGACGTTTTGTGCTTCCCAATCAGTCACTCATCTCGCACTACTATATATTGAATCTACTTAATGCATGCAACTTTGGTTGCTGGTTGGGCCATTAATACTTGCTTGGCTCATTACTGTCGATATATCGTTTGCTTTTTTCACATCCATCGCACAATGCTTTTCAACTAGTTGTTTTTCATTAATTATTTTTTCATTAATTATTTTTTCATTAATCTTCTTGATTAGTGTACTTGTTAACCACTATCAATAGCGCTTTTCAAAAACCATTTGTTGTAACTCCTTGAGCATACAGGTAAAACAATATGCCCACTAAATCCTTGATACTCTTATTAAGTGCACTCACCCAATCATCGAAAGTGGATTTGAATTAATCTAGTCTGCAGTCATTCCCCCACTAGTCCCACGTGCTCTTTGATGCCCAAAATTGGTAGCTAATTATAGTCTTACCAACATTTGTATCTCTTACCTACAATATAAGATTAAGAAGCATCTGGGTTCTTTTTCATAGTGCACATTTGAAAGAGTGTCAATTTATCCAAAGAAGGGGTCGTTCTGGTTGTGAACAAATGGGCTCTTAGTACTTATCATAAGGAAAAAGGGGAAGGTTATTCTTATAAATAGAAACCCATGCATCTAAAATAATACATATCAAATATAAACTTAGAGGGGGAAGGCTACATGTGTAGGCAGATTAGAGAAATCGAATTTATTCCAAAAGTAATACAAGCTAACCGCTATACGATGTTGAAGAGCCAATTCCCTGCTTGGAAGTCAAAATTATCGATGACGCGGGCACTCTTGCTTCTTGTTGCCAAGAATTGAGAGAGGGGAATAGTTTGAGTACTTGAATGAATTCTCCGATGCACCATTTCATATTCCCCTACTAGGACAGTTACCTGATTCATTCAGTTATAGTCCTAGGGGAATGAATTCAAAATCAGTGACATCTACCTCCTCAAGGCTTCCTTTGCTACACATGATCCCTATTCTAAAGCTAGGTGGGTTCGGCGTATCCCTACAATTCTGGTCATACTCCTCTTTCGAGATCCCTGACTATTCTATTTTGATAAGGGAACACTCTTGTAGAGGATCACTCTTCTGCTTACTTATTTTTAGTGAGATGTGACACTAAACTGTTTTCCAAATAAGTTTTCTCGAGTGGTCATTAGTAAGCCATGGAATTGATATCCTGCAACTAAGCATAAGGCTTTTCCTTCCAACTAAGAATGTCGACTTATGAAGATTTCCTGCATCAGACACTAATACTTTTTGGACGTAAATTTAGATAGGATAATCCTTTTAATTTCAAGTATAACAGTTAAGATGAGAAGCTCATTTATTTTTGTTTATTGATAATTGGAGCCTTAAAGCTCTATCCATTTATTTCGTCGATCATACATAGATTTTTTTATGTTCTTTACCAAGAATTCAAATAAGATTTGGATCCACTATGTTCCTATTCAAAATGAACTATTCTCATAAGATCCCCAGTAATACGACATGCTCTTTTTCCATTCATTTCTGTTTGGATCACTCACTGTTTTACAAACTATACTTGCGGTTCGATGGCTCTATATGAATTAGCGGTTTTTGATCCTTCTGACCCCGTTCTTGATCCAATGTGGAGACAAGGTATGTTTGTTATACCTTTCATGACTCGTTTAGGAATAACCAATTCATGGGGTGGTTGGAATATTACCGGAGGAACTATAACGAATCCGGGTATTTGGAGTTATGAAGGTGTGGCTGGGGCGCATATTGTGTTTTCCGGCTTGTGCTTCTTGGCAGCTATATGGCATTGGGTGTATTGGGAATGAAAAATTATGATCAACGTACAAGAAACCCCTATTTGAATGTGCGTAAGATTTAAGGAATTTAATTATTTTTTAAAGGGTGGCTTGTTTTTGATTTGGTGCTTTTCATGAAACAGGCTTATTTGGTCATGAAATATGTGTCTCTGGTCCTTATAGACTAACTAGGAAGGTACATATTGTAAATCCAGACGTGCATCTAAAGTGTCATTTACTAAGAGCAATGTTGTTGTATGTAAACCTAGAGCAATAACATGATTAACCAAGAAGTCTTCAGACCCTATTGTAAAAAATAATGAAATTTTGTTTTCATTAATGACATTTAACTAGTCGGGCAACCATATGCTTCACCCTACATGAAAGGTTTCACTATTCATAGAAGATAAAAGGACATCGAATTCATATGGATTTTTACTGGAGACCCAAAAGCAAGCATGACATCTTTATGTTCATCATTATGAACATAAAGTTCCAAAGTATGGAATCTCATAAAGAGGTTGGCCCAACTTAAATGGAATATGATAGCTTTATGTCCTAACATTCTCACCCATACATTATCCTCATTATGCTCTAAATTGTAATAAAAATTATAGCTTCATGAGAAAAAGAGAGAACTATGAAGGTGTAGTTGGGCCTTGATGCTGGAACTGACATTTTTGGGGGGAAGAAAGCGGTCCCCTTTTGCGGTAGAGTGTGAAGCATTGTTGCACAAGGGAAAGCAATGTTGCCATTCATAAAAAACACAAGAAAAGAACAAGGGAAAAAAGGTTCGTGGATTCTTGCCATCAATGGAAAAATGGAGTTGTAGACATTAAGGTAAGAGAGTGAGGTCATATATTGCTACAAAAGCATAATCGAAGGGATTGCCTGAAAGGTAAGGATAGCGTGATTGTTCGAGGTAAGGATAGCTTGATTGGCTGGTTGGTTGGAAGGTAAGGATAACATGCTTGGCGTATTTTAGGTCTCTTGGATCATGGGCCACAACTCTTTAGGTAGAGACCACCAGACATCATTTGGGTAGGCCAAGGCTATATGGGCTTGGGACTTTTGGCTGTCATTTTCTAGGATATTTTGAAGGGTTAACTAATTATTATGTATATAATCAGTCAAACAAGATTGGATAAGAATCTTCTTTATGTTCTAAAATTCTTGTCATCACATTATCCTCATTCTATTATGGATTGCGATCTCTCATAAAAAAAATATTGCTTCATGAGCAAAAGAAGGAACTATGAAGGTGTAGTTGGGCCCTGATGCTAGAATTGACCTTTTTGGGGGGAGAAAGCGACCCCCTTTCGCGGCAGAGTGTGAAGCATGTTTGCACGAGGGAAAGCAATGTTGTCATTCAAGAAGAACACAAGAAGAAGAAAAAAAGTATTTTGTGGTTTCTAGCCATCATTGGAAAACAAATGGATTTGTAGACATGAAGCTACAAAAGCAGAATCGAAAGAGTTGGTTGAAAGGTAAGAATAGTGTGATTGGTCAATGTAAGAATAACTAGATTGACTATTGGTTAGAAGGCAAGGATAACATGACTGACTGATTTCGAGTCCCTTAGATAATGGGCCGCAAATTCTTTGGGTAGAGACCAATGAACATCATTTGGGTAGGCCGAGGCTATATGGGCTTGGGCCTTTTGATGGTTGTCATTTTCTAGGCTATTTTGAAGGGTTAACTAATTATGTATATAAGCAGTCAAGAAAGCTTGGATGAAATTTAAAAAAAAAATCTTGAAGATGCTTAGGGGCATAGTTCTTTGCTCCTCATTAGTAAGAAGTGCTTCCTTAACAAGTCAAAATCGTTCTTAAACCAAAAAGACGCACGTGACGGATCATCTAATTCTTCCATTATGACACAACTCTTTTGCACTTGC